AGCCCACAGTGCCACTCCACCAGGACTCCTTATGGAAGACAAACAAACATAAAAGTTGATAATAAAGTTTTAATTGTTGATGTCAAGTGCCGTCGAGTCAGTTTCAACTCATAGTGATCCTGTATAGGGTTTTCAAAGAGCGGCTGGTGAGCTTAAACTGTGGACTTTGCTGTTCAAACTGATGTTGTGGTCTAGCGCATTAGCCTACAGCACCATAATTATAACACTTTATTCTATATAAACAACAGAAACCAAACAACAAAACAATGGCAATGGCCAATGAGTGGACTCTGGCTACTAGCAACCCCAAACTCCTGGTGTGGCACTGTAGGATCAGCCCTGGATTTTGAACCACATGTCGAAAGTTCAGACCCACCAACTGCTATGCAGAAACCCTATGCAGGGTCATTATGAGTTGGAACTCACTCAGTTGCACTTAACAACAACAAGATTGCCATTATTAAATCAATCACACCACGGACTTCCCATTTAATTTTTGCTTCTAAGTACTGAAAAATTATTGGCTTATGCTATTAGATCTTAGTAGACCTTCTCTATAGAATAAAAATAATATTCTTTTGATTTTATGGGGAATGGGGAAATAAGGGAGGAAGGAGGAAGAAAAAGAAGCAAAAATAACTTTAATAACTAAATTCAGTGTTAAAACAAGGCAGATTATTCCTTTCTAAATAGTGTAGCTTTTATTTCAAGGATGAAATTAAAGCATACCAATTTAAAATTAAATATTTTATTTAAAAACGAAAGTATAATCAGAGAGTTTTTGGAAGTAATTCAGGGTCTGAAGCCCACTCTGTAACACTTTTTGGCTCTATAAAATTTCTGAAACTCACCTATTAAATGAGAATGATATATAACAGTGAGTTTTCATGGTTGGGATCCTGGTGTGGTGCTGTAGGATAAGCACTGGATTGCTTATTACAAGGTCAGTGGTTCAAACCCACAAGTCACTCCTCGGAAACCCTACATAAAATTGGTATTAATTGGAACTGACTAAATAGCATTTAACAAAAACAACAATATACATGAACTTCTGTATGTACCAATTCCTAGTATAGTTACATTTTTCTCTTGAAAAGTGACAGACAGTTGTGTCAGTGTCCAGATTTTTTTAAAAAAAGCAAAAAACATTACAGCTCAATTTAGTAGGTTAAAAGTACTTGTTTTACTAAAGCTTGCTGTCATAGACAAATAAAACAATTGGATTTTCTTTTAAGACTTTTCCCTCATCATCATCGATGAATGCCATCACACCAACAAAGAAGCAGTGTATAATAACATCATGCAACGTTATTTGAAACAGAAGTTGAAAAACAAGGCACTCCAGAAAGAAAACAAAAAAGAGATCCCTCTACCTCAGATACTAGGACTAACGGCTTCACCTGGAGTTGGAGGAGCAAGAAAGCAAGCCAAAGCTAATGAACACATTTTAAAAGTAAGTCAATAACTGTATGTATAACCAATAAAACTAGCCCTAAAACAAATATCAGGCTTCTTGGGGTTTTTTTGTTTTTCATTAAAGCTCCATCTAAGTGTCATGGATTACACAGAAAGAAAGTATCCTACGATCATAAAATGATATCTGTTTGCTCTAACTAAAATAAATATCCTTAATCTTCTACAAAACCGTAATATTCATTAATAAATAACTATGACATTGAACAGTATCACAAACGTGAAATGTCTTCTTTTCAGCATCTATTCTTATAGTTAAACTTAATGACCTTTTGATATAGAAATATTCATGAACTATGAGAGTTTCTAGTTTTCATACATGATAATGTGTTATTCCACGAGTTTCAAATTGAAAATTGTTTTTACTTGGTCTTTTATGTTCTAAGAGATCTTCAGACTCTGGGTAAGTCAAACTTACTGGACAATGGAGCTATGAGGATTTTTATTTTTAGAATATATTACTTCTTGGCTGCCCTAAAATGGTAATACCAAATAAAGACTGCTGCTGTTCTCAGGTGTTAAATGTATTCAGAATAACTGAGAAAATGACACCAAGGCAACTCTATTTGTATTTGAAGCCTCTACCTTTAAGTTTATTAAGTGCTGCTGAGTTGACTTTCCTACTTATAGAGACCCTGTACAAGGTTTCCAAGGAACTACTAGTATGTTTGAGCCTGTGACCTTGTGGTTCAAACTGACTTTGCAGTCCAGCATTTATCCTACAGTGCCACACCAGTTGTTGTTAAAGTGCTGTTGAGTCGGTTCTTACTCATAGCAACCCTGTACAGAGTTTACCAGGAGCAGCTGGTGTGTTTGAACTGCCAATCTCATGGTTAGCAGTGCAATGCTTATTTTACAGTGTCACACCAGGGTCAGCAAAAAAGAGGAAAACCCTCAACAAGATGAATTGGCACAGTGCAGCAGCAATGGGCTCAAGCTTAACAGTTGTGAGGATGGCGCAGGACCTTCGTTCTGTCGTGCCTAAATTGACTACGGATCGGAACTGACTATACCGCACTTAACAACAGCAACCTTTAAAGAAAAGAGCTCTGGTAGCGCAATGCATTGTGTGAGCAGTTTGAATACACCAGCTCCTCCTTGGGAGAAAGATGAGACTTTCTGCTCCCATAAAGAGATGCAGCCCTGGAAACCTTATACAGGATTGTTGAATTGGAACCAATTCCATGGCATAACACCACCTCCTTTAAGTAGAACTTGGTAACAATCCTGTAGAATAAACACAACATTCAATGGTTGGATTATTTAGCTCCAGGGTAAAATTTATTACTAGGATTAAGGGCTAGCTTCAATCTAGAGCCAGCCACATGGGCATTTGCTGCTTTCAGTTTTGCAGTGCCTTATTTATGTGTAGAAAAAGGTGGGAATATGATCCGTGATGTCGAGGTGACCTTTAATAAGACTAATAATAATATAGTTATCTTATAATAGCCATATTATAAAATGCTCTTGTAAGAATATTATCTCATCATTGTCAGCAAGTTGCTATATGCTTTCTATGTTGGACTTAATAGATGGAAAATAGAATTTTAGGAATGAAAATAAATAAATGCCTGTCTTTTGGGAACTCCCCACTGATTTGATTTAGAAGCTTTCCTAGTAATGAAAAATGTCAGTGTTTGACTAGATCCACAGTAAAGCAGTGGTAAAATATTATATTTAGCAAATAATGCTATATTTTTCTTACATAAAAACGAACTCTGTATTGAATCAACTGAACTGGAAAAGTAATTATTTGAATATTGAAAACTGTCTTATTTTCTAGATATGTGCCAATCTTGATGCATTTACCATTAAAACTGTGCAAGAAAACCTTGGTGAACTCAGAAACCAAATAAAAGAGCCATGCAAGAAGTTTGAAATTACAGATAGCAGCAGAGAAGTATGTACTTAAAATTATATATATATATATATATATTTTTGGTGATGCTATACTAAACTGAAAGGTGATTTAAGCTATTTTATGCTGACTGACCACTGGAAGAATATCATTATAAATATTTAGCAAGAAAATTATAGTTTCATTCTTTTCTATTGATACTAGGCAACAAAACACTGTAATGTATTTGTCCCATATTATTTTTAGTTTTATAACTTATATGAAGTATACAGTATCTCAGTAATTGTTTGACTATGTATGAGTTAAAGAGGCTGGTGAGGATGGTACAGCTAATCTAGCAAGGGTACCATAGTGCTTTATATGCCTTTCAACTTTTTAATTTTGTTGGTGATTTCCAAGATTGCTTTTCTGACATAGCATACTACCAAAACCAGAAACACTTTGTTGCTACCAGATTATAGTTGGCAATGATAATGAGAATACTACCTAATTTGAATATGTACATATTTACTTTCTACGGAAAATACTGACATGGTAAAGAAATGAAATATTTATTTCAATGGTGCTTCTGCGATGAATATTTTCACAGAGTATAAACACTGGCTGAGAGTCAACTTGGACATTATGACTAGTACATTTTGTCATTGTACTTCTTTTATAAAAATTTATAAGCATGATCAATTTTAGCTGTATTTACTGGATATTAACTTTAATCATAGAAATCTACCTCATAAGGATGCTAGGATTCAATGTTATAAGGTACATGCTTTAGATAATACATTGGATGTATGAAGCACTAAGTGGAGTCCTATAAAATAAAGCACTGGATCTCAAGGTTGATTTGAATTATAAGACTGGTGGTTCAGACTCACCAGCCACTCCTTGGAAACCCTGTACAGAATCGCTGAGTTGGAACTGACATATGTCACTTAACAACAACAACCCAATAAGTAACCAACTTCCATAGATAAATATTTTTGAAATTTGGAAAGAGAGTACAAGGGGCTTACAAGAGTTCATGGAAAAGGTTTATTTTTACCTTTTAATATATTTTTCCATGAACATTTTGAAGCCCCTTGTATAGTCTATTTTAATTACACTATCACATTTGAATATATTTTATTCATTTCTATTTTATATTACTTATTCAGTTTTTCATTACTTTCAGTTTAAATATAGGTTTCTATTCATAATCATGAAAAGCAAACCCCAACATTTTAAAGATACTATTTTTAGAAAGAATTTGTCCATCCTGTTCTTTAATTTACTTAATTTTCTAGTAAAACTTTTGTTTACATATAACATATGTGCAGAACAATACCAAATCATGAGTATCATTGACTTTTCATAAACTGTAAACACCTATCTAAGCCCAGGTCAAGAAATAGAACATTACCAGTCCCCAGAAACCCCTGGTGACTTCTTCCCCTCACCAACCTCAAAAGGAAACCACTGCCTTTACTTTTAGCATCAAAGATGAGATTGGACTGATTTTGAACTTTATATAAATGGATTCATATATTATGTACTCTTTTGTATCTGTCTTTGTTCAGAACTCCACCTGTCAGCTTTTTATTTTAGTAGAAATAACTCTGAAACCAGTTCTTCAAAGAAGAATGTTTCATAAATTAGAGTGTGTCCTTCCTAAATAATTATGACATTAATATGTTTTTCAAATTGCCTTTAACATTCAAGGTTTATATCCCTCATTAATTTTATTTTTCAAATGTTTAAATTGGACATTCCAGCAGGGATATATGGTGTTAGTGTGGGTGTGGCTTGAGGGTGGAGGTATAAGAGAAGCTGACAAAAATAAGTGTGCAGAGAGGTTATCTAAAGTTAAGTTTTTACTTTCTCTATATAAAATATAGTATAACCTGAAGATTCTTTTTTAAAATATAATATTATTCCTGTAACAGTGTTATTGTTGCTAAGTGCCAACGAGTTGGTTCCAACTCATGGTGACCCTGCATAGGGTTGACTAGGAGCAGCTGGTGGGTTTGAACCACCTACCTTGTGGTTAGCAGTCCAGTGCTTATCCTATAGCGCCACACTCTCCTGTAACAATATAAATATATAAAAACAAATGTGTAATTTATTTTTAGAATCCATTTCAAGAGAAACTTCTAGAAATAATGACAAGTATTCAAACCTTTTGCCAAATGAATCCAATGCCAGAATTTGGAACTCAACCCTATGAACAATGGACCATTCAAGTAGAAAAAAAAGGTAATATGCATTTTGATTCAACATTCATTTTAGTCCATGTTTGTGCCAAGATTTCAGATGACTATGACACATATTTCTAAGCAGATTGAAAGCAAATGGAATATCTGTGTTCTAAGTAGAACAAGGGTAAACATGCTCTAATTCCTTATCTGAGAAAAGGGGCACCCATCCATCCATTTCTCCTTATCTTCACTCTTTGGCTTATTGCATGTTTAAAATGCTAAGATAAATATTAACAGTTCTGTCTCCAAAGGCAAATTTCCATTATATGTTTTTTTTTTTTTCTCGTCATTCCTCTGAGTCAGCATGTTTTTGCTGATGCAGAGTTCAAACAGCAAATCTCGGAGTTGGACATGTTGCCGTACAGTACTTTTTTTTTTTTTTTTTTTTTTAAGTTTTTAGTGTGAGTTGAGTGAAAGTTAATAGGGCAGATCATCAGCTTCACAGTCAACAAATCATACACCTTGTTACTACAGTGATTACAATCCCCTCCATGTACCCTCAGTTAACAGTATTTCTCTCTATTCATTTTAGCTCTTTAAAAAACAACAACAACAAAAAAATACTCACACATATATAATAATTTACACCACCAAATGGCACATTCTACAAGTCTGCCTCCTGGCCACCAGCTCTCAGTCCCTCTCTTTTCCTGAATCTAGAGTCCTCAGCTACTCCCTCTCTCCATGTCCTCATCTCTGCCTCCATCTCTGGTGTCGCTACTTCTGGGATAAGGTCCTAGGGTTCTCTGTTTCTGGGCTTTAAAATTAACTACTCCCCTGTTTTTGTTACATAACTTCTATCTTTACAATTGTGACAGTCACAATTAGTCATGATAACAATTACTTACTATTGGTTCAAACATGAATATTGCTCTACTGGACTACCATGAAGGTGGTGTGACCTCGTATATGATTTTCTTTAAGGATGGATTGCTGTTGTTGTTGTTAAGTGTTGTTGAATTGGTTCACTCATAGTGACCCTGTATAGGGTTTCCAAGGAGTACTGTTTCCAAGTTTGCACTGCTGACCTTTTGGTTCACAGTCCAGTGCTGGACCTACAGCACCATAACAGAGAACTGTTAACAAATTTGACAATTATTTGGACCTGTCACCTGTGATCATAACTGGCTGTTGCTTTTCATCCACACAACACTAGGACTTGGACAAATTGGACTGATGGCATCTTGAGGTTTTCATTTATTTTTGATTTATTTGATTTATTTGGAGCTGTACATTTTTAAAGGGGGCATGGGAAAGCATGTCGTGTAAGTTATCTAAAAAATAAATGCATTTAAAGTTTTAAAAAAACCAAAAAACCCTATGCAATATACTGTTGTACTCTGGAACGCTCGGGATTGCCACAAGTCAAAATCAGCTACTGTTTCTTCTTTTCATAAACATATCCATGTGCATACTGCTCATACTCATTACATCACCATACATTATATATATATATATTCTTTCATAGCTGCAAAAGAAGGAAATCGCAAAGAACGTGTTTGTGCAGAACATTTGAGGAAGTACAATGAGGCCCTACAAATTAATGACACAATCCGAATGATTGATGCATACAATCACCTTGAAACTTTCTACAAAGAGGAGAAAGAAAAGAAGCTTGCAGTCTTAGAAGATGAGAGTGATGGAACTGGGTACAGTGATGATGATGATGGTGACAAAAATGAGGATGATCAAAAGAAGTCTTTTAAGTTGGATGAAACAGATAGATATCTCTTTAATTTATTTTTTGGTAAGAATCAATATAATTTTTATCTAATGGTCTCTTTAACCTATAAACTATGGCATGAACTTACTGCTTCTTATAAGCTTCTCAAAGGCTCTATTAAAATACCCTTTTAAAAGCAGAAATTTCATTCACATTGCTCCTAATTAAGCTGATGTGACCAGATTAGGTATTAGTTATATGGTCACACTTTGGTCACACAATTTGATTGTCAATATGATGGTGGTAAATTTATTTATTAAACCAGCATGGTTTATTAAATAATAGCACAAGGTTAAATTTAGTTGAGAAGATTTCATTGCAACATTAAATACATCTCCTAGTCTAATTATTTGTATATTTTTCTAATTTTGACTAATAATTTCTTAAAGAAAACAGGAGAAACCTGAAAAAACTGACTGAAAACCCAAAATATGAAAACGAAAAATTGATAAGATTAAGAAACACCATAATGGAACAGTTTACTAAGACGGAGGGATCATCACGGGGAATCATTTTTACAAAAACAAGACAAAGTGCATTTGCTCTTTCCCAGTGGCTTACTGAAAATGAAAAATTTGCAGAAGTAGGAGTCAAAGCCCACCATCTGATTGGAGCTGGACACAGTAGCGAGTTCAAGCCCATGACACAGGTATAAACATCGTTTTGAACTTGTTTGTTGTGCTGTTGTTTTTAGTTGCCATTGAGCTGGCTGCAACTCTTGGTAACCTTATTATGTACAACAGAGTACAGTGTTGCTCAGTCCCATGTCATGGTCACAGTTGTTGGTGTTTAAGCCCATTGTTGAGGCAGCTCTTCCCCAGTCATAATTTTGAGTGCCTTCCAACCTAATGGACTCAGATTCTAGCACTACACTGATAGTAAGTAAGCTGTGATAAGCCATCAAGTTTTCATTGGCTAATTTTCAGGAGCAGTTTGCCAGGTCTTTGGTTTTACTCTGTCTTAGTCTGGAAGTTCTACTGAAACCTCTCTGCCATTTGAAATATTGGTGACATAGATTCAAGCATATTAGCAACATGCAAACCACCACAGTATGACAAATTGACAGATTATTACTCTTTATCAGTCAGCTTTGTCAATTCCCTAACCACTCTACAAGTAATAAAATGCTCATTCTTGAGATAAAATTTACATTTAATAATACTCTCATGTTTGATATGCTTTGCATTGAGCTATTGTTGTTGTTTGGAGATTCCTATTGATTTGGCTACAACTCATAGTGATTCTATATAGGGTTTCTGAAAAATATTGGTAGGTTTGAACGGGTGACTTGTGGCTAGCAGTCCAGTGCTTATACTACAGAACTATGCCAGCATTCCATGAATTGACTCAGGAGTTATTTATATTATTTATTAACATATTTGGATGAACTTTCTAAATTTCTCTTGCAATTTAAAATTTTCTCTTGCATAAAAAATTGACATGTTAGTAACAAAATACAGAAATATTTATCAAGTGGAAAATAGAATCACCTCCCCCAAATCTCTGTACTTTGTAATGGTGTTGTTAGTTTCCATCCAATGGATTCCCATATGTGTAGGGTAGAGATACCCCATACGGTTGTCAAGGTTATAACATTTCAGAAGCAGATTTTCAGGCCTGTATTAAGAGGTGCCTCTGGGTGGGTTCCCATGGTTAACTTTTCAGCTGGTCGTTGAGTACTTAGCCATTTGCACCTCCCAGAGATTCGCATTACGATCAGTTATATAAAATATGCTTTCATAGAATAATACCTATAAATGACTTGGAAAAGTGAAAACATCTGATATGGTAGTTATTTAGGATTATGGAAAGTATTATTTTCAAGGTTCTCCCCACCTGTGTGATGATACTGCTTATTGTGTATTGTAAAAATAACAACACCAACAAAACCACTTTTGAGAGAAAAAGATACTTGTAGACACTGCGGCATGAGTGGCACACTGATGGCTTGTCTGAGTAAATATTCTTCAGAAGTCTAATGTCATTATGACCCAAAGTCTTGCTTGACAAAGGAACACTTGGTTTCGATTATGATCAGCATCATTCAAACCAACATTCCCATGTCCCCATAAGGTCATCTAAATCTGTATTTCATTTGTTCTAAAACCCTGCAGATTACAAGATGCATTTCAATATCAAGAATGGTGAAAATGTGAAAAAAAATATGCATCTTAGAATTTACGAGATAGAATACTTTTTGTTATTATTTGCCTGTGTCTTCATTTCAAATCACAGGCTGAACTAGAGAGAAAGGCAGAGCATGCTTTATCCCGTTCTTCATGGATAAAGGCATACATACCCACTACTGCCAAATCAGTTGTGACTCACAGCCACCCTGTAAGACACAGTAGAGCTGCCCCATAGCGGTTTTCAAAACTGCAGTCTTTATGGAAGCAGACTGTCACTTCTTTCTCTCACAGAGCAGCTGGAGGGTTTAAACCAGAGATCCTCATAAAGGCATATAAGGTTGTTGTTGTTAAGTGCCATGGAGTCAGTTCCGACTAATAGTGACCCTGTATAGCATTTCCTGGGAGTGACTGGTGAGCTTGAACCACCCACCTTTTGGTTTAAACCAACCTTGCAATCTAAGTCTAGCACATTAACCCGCAGTGCCATACCAGATTATATAAATATAAATATATATATATATATTAGTGTAAAGGAGCCCTGTTGGCACTGTAGGATATGTGTTGGACTGCTAACTACAAGGTCATCTGTTCAAACACACCTTGGAAGAAAGATGAGGCTTTCTGCTCCCATAAAAATCTAAGCCTCAGAAACCATGTATAGGATATCCTCACTGAGTAAAAATTCACGAGATAGCAGTGAATTTGGTATGAGTATATACATAAGGAGCTCTGGTAGTGTAGTGGTTATGAATCGGGCTGCTAATCTCACGGTCAGCAATTCAAAACTACCAGCTGTTCTGCGGAAGAAAGAAGAAGCTTTCTGCTCCCGTAAAGATTTACAGCCTCGGAAACCCTGTACACGGTCGCTATGAATCAGAACTGACTCCACGGCACTTAACAACAACAATATATATATCATATTAAATTATCAAAATACCAGTTGAAAGGCTCTAGGTTCAAACCCACTCAGAGGTACCTCAGAAGAGAAGCCTGGTGATCTGCTTCTGAAAGGTTTGTTGTGCTTGAAACAATTCTGCTCTTCACACATGGGATTGCCATAAATCAGAAGGACACAAAGGCAACTAACAACTATTGTTGTAGCCTCAACCCCTCATTTCTATCAGAATCCGGCTCAGCTGTCACCTTAACAGAGACATTCCCTGACCAGCCTCTGTAGACTTGCACACGAGCTACTCTCTCAGCCACTGTCTCCCTTTCAGCTTAACAATTACTGTCACCTGAAAATTACATACTTGCTTACTTATTTCACATCACTGGAAAGTAAACTACATGAGGTCAGGGGCTTCTGTGATTTTACTGCTGTATCTCAACTCCTAGTAACAGTAACAAACACTTTAAAAGGCTTATTATGTAGGAACTCTATAAAAGTTTCTTGAAAAATGAATAAAACTTAAGTGAATATTCAACTTCTTAAGATTGCTAAATTTTAAAATGCAATCAAATTAGACCACTAGCTGCCACTCCGATCATGTTACTTCTGTCTCTTTAAAAAAATTACACTGATGAGTCAGCATCAACTCCATGGCAACTGGATTATTTTGTTTGGTTGGTTTGGTTTTAACATTATGATTTTTTTTTTTTTTTTTAAATCTGGTCTTGGATGGGACAAGTTAAATCTATTTAATTTGTTTGTGAAAAAAAGTTTTTGAATTTCCCCACTATGACTCAGTACTCCATTTTAGAAAATTTCGTACCAGTGAAGGCAATATTTTCCTAGGATAATGAGTTTGCTTTCTCCTTTTTGATGAGAACTAATTTATATAATGTTTCCCTTTTGCCCTAGCTTCCAGGAAGCTCACAGGTAAAATTGAAGTTGAGTCTCATAGCAACTGTGTTAATCCTTACAAGTAATACATACATCTACACCCTTTATATTTTTGGTTCTTTCAGTTTCTGTCCTATTAGCTTTAGTGTTGTAGGTGACCTCAGATCCTCTTTGAAGAAAGGTACAGTACAGATAAAGAGTATGTTTCAAGTTTCTAACTGTGTTGTATCCATTTCAACTTGGGGGCTGCTTGGCAGGCTGTAGAGCAGTCCCTTCCTCATTCCCCATAGCCTCACCTAGTCAACTGAAGTGTATTTACAAATTCGATGGGAGTTAGGCATCTACTTGGAATCCTGATGTGGCTAACCACAACTTTCGTGGTTCAGACCTACCAGCTCCTTCTCTGAAACCCAAACATTGTCTCTATGAGTCGGAATCGACTTGACAGCACTTAACAACAAGGCATCTATTATTGATAGGATTTGAGGGCTCAACACTGGGCCTGAAGTTTTCATTATTAGAGTTACTTATGTGAATTAAGGCGCTGAAATCTGCTAAAATCCAAGACCATGCAAATTTTCTCAGTGCAAGTGAGGGTAGAAGAGAGAGATTACCAGGGAAGATTCCAGAGGCACCTTTGACAGGATTACTCTAACAGTTAGGAGTCCATAAGAACTCAGGCTGCTAATAAAAGGGCAGCAGTTGTCGGTGTAGTGTGTTTAGTTTTGTTTCATGTGTTGTAAAGTGCTCTCGAGTGGGTTTAGACTCATAATGATCCTGTAGAAGGGTTTCCAAGGGACAGCTGGTGGGTTTGAACCTCTGGCCTTGTGTTTAGCAGTCCTTTGCTTATTCTGCAGTAACACATCAGGACTTGTTTAGTGCTGTGGAGTTGATTCCGACTCACTGCGGCCCAACATAGGGTTTCCGAGGAGCAATTGGTGAGTTTAAACCACCGACCTTGTGGTTCAAACTGACCTTGCATTCCTGTGCTTATCCTACAGTACCACACCAGGACTGTTGTTGTTAAGTGCTGTAGAATCAGTTCTGACTCATAACAGCCCTGTATAGGGTTTCTGAGAAGTGGCTGGTGATCTCGAACCACCAACCTTGTGATTCAAACCGACTTTGTAGTCCAGTGCATTAACTCACAGCCCCACACCAGGACTCCACACCATAACTGACAGGGGCAGAAATAGGATGGCAGGAACAAAAGCTTTGATGGGAGTGGTTATAAAAATACAGTGTACTTCCTCTACAAGGGCCAGAGTGCATATCTTAATTTCTCTGTTTACATAAAATTTCAGAATTCATATATTTTCATTGAAATATTGTTTTAATGACATATTTCATGACTCATTCTTTTATTTTTATTAATACCATTTTTTCAAGTTTTCTTCAATACTAGTAAGTTGCAAGGGTGTACCACTGTCTCTAGTCTTCCAGCTCTCCTCACTAGAGGCAACCAGTGTTTTGTGAACAGCTTCTCTTGTGTACGTTCAGGGACATTCTATGTGTTTCATGCTTGAATGACTTTTAAAATGACCAAATGTGTTATACTGTGTGCATTTTCTCTCTCTGACTCAAAGTCAGCAATCTGTAAAAATATAACTTCAGCTTTGCCTTTGAATATTAAAGATTCTGAAGTTAATGTAGTGGAAAGAAAGGCCCATTTTAGTTTGTCATTGCTGTCTCATCTCCCCAAATATAAGTGTCTCCTCCCTTTCTTCCTCCCCAGTTGCTCATCAGTTTATTTCCTTGGCATGAATAATGGTCTTCCAACCTCCAGACTGGAAGATAGAAATATTTTTGTTATTGTGTGATAATCCCAGATTGGAAATCAAATGTTGTCTCACCATCGTGTCTTTACTCAATGCCAAAAACAGATGGCAGCAAATCCGCATATGATTTAATCCTTTGATTTACACTGACCAGTTGCAATTTATTATTTCATCTCCTCTAATTAGAAGAATTTTAATGTGTTTAGCCTCACAAAATTTAATTTATTAAAATGTTTCTACAGAATGAACAAAAAGAAGTCATTAGTAAATTTCGCACTGGAAAAATAAATCTGCTTATAGCTACCACAGTGGCAGAAGAAGGTCTGGATATCAAAGAATGCAATATTGTGATCCGCTATGGTCTCGTCACAAATGAAATAGCCATGGTCCAGGTATATTAAGATATATGTAATATGCTAATTTTTACTTTTCTTATTTTAATTGCTTTACTTCAAGTCAGGGCTTAGAACCTGCTCTTCCTAGTTCAATCATGACTGACAAATTAAAAGTAGAATGGACCTGCATTTGTAAAGTGTGATGTACTGTTAGAGAACCAGAATGTGAAAAATCACTGATCAACACCCTGTTAGAAGTTGAATCTCCCTTTTAGAAAACAAGCAAATCTCTTGATCTGCAGTCATAAAGAATGGTGCCCAGTTTAAATATAACAGCCAACTATATCTATCACTTGGAATATGTGTTACTCTACACAGGCCTGGCGGTAGTCCAGCCTCCTGGATCAGACACCTGATCCAATTCTCCCATTCCAGGGCTTTGACCCATCATTTATTCCAGTTATTATTCAAGTCATTATTCCAGTCCACCCACATTTTACAAACTTGGATCTGTTCCAATCTATCAGTCATGACTGGACCAGTTCAAACTGGTTCAAATCCCTGTTTTAAGTCAAAGTACAAAAGAGGACATGTTTTTAGTTTTAAATATATACCTTTTTCTTGATAAAGGAGTAATTGTGAAAATGTATAATATTACCTTTTTTTTTTTATTACTGTTTAATTCATATGACAACCAGGGTTTTTTGTTTGTTTTCTTTTAAACATTTTTGGTTATTATTTCACTGTTGTTGTTTTTTTTGTAGGAACATGACACTGGTTTAAAAGAGGGAAAAGTACTTCTGTTGTTATGTGTCATCGAGACATTTCTGACTCATAGAGACTATATGTAGGGTTTCTGAGGAGTGGCTGATGGGTTTGAACCTCCAACATTTCAGGTAGCTGTGCCATGCCACGCCAGCACTCCATCTCATATGTAGGTTGTCTTTGTATAAGGTTTCCCAGGAGTAGGTTGATTTGAATCACTAACCTTGCAGTTACAAGTATAGTGTCTATAGTCCCGCAATACTACACCAGGACCCGTCCTCATATCTAGGTTGTCTCTGTGTGAACCCCAGCTGGACTTGAAATATGAACCATCATGACTTACAAATGTCTGACAAAGAAACATGATCAAACTTTAAGGAGCACTGTTACTTCTTTTCTTCTTTTTAGAATATTTTATTGTGTTTGGTTTCATAATTGATAGCTTAAAGCACACTACTCACTGGCGTCATTGATTACTTTGTAGACCAATCCATTATTCATTCAAAAGTTGACCTCCAGACATGCTTCAGTTCTAGACTAAAAGGTTGTCTTAGGGTGATAGTCTTTGGGGGTTGGTTATTCCTGTCTCTATCAGTCTCTATCGGTCTAGTAAAAATGTTTTTTAATTGTAAAGTATGTTTTGATATGTTTCCCATTCTAACAGAACATTCTATTGTGTCCCTAGTCAGAGCTTGTTGCCTCTATTGTTGTTAGATAACATTGAGTCAGTTCCAATTCATAACTACCCTATGCACAACAGAAGCACTGCGTGATACTGCACCATCCCCACAATCGTTGGTACGTGTGAGTCCACTGCTGTTGGCACATTGCCAATCTGTTTTCTTGGACATCTTCCTCTTTTATGCTGACCCTGCACTTTACCAATATTGATGTCCTTCTCCAGGGAATGTTCCCTACTAATAATATGTCCCAAGATGAAAGACAAAGTCTCACCATCCTGGCTTCTAAGGAGCATTCTGACTGTACTTCTTCCAACACAGATTTGTTTGTTCCTCTGGCAGTACATGATACTTTTAATATTCTTCTCCAACACCATAATTCAAACACATCAATTCTTCTACTGTCTTCCTTATTTATTGCCCAAATTTCACATGCATATGAGAAACAAATTAACATGGCTTGGATCAGGTGCACATTAGTCCTTAAACTGACTGACATCTTTGCTCTTACGCGATTTAAAGAGGTCATTTGCAGCAGATTTGCTTAATACAATATGTCACTTGATTTCTGGACTGTTGCTTTCATGAGTATTGATAGTGGAGCCAAGCAAAATGAAGTTTGTGACTAGTTCAATCCAGTGGTGACAATTTTTGTTATATTTTTTACTATCTGTCTTGAAGTCTGTAGTCTTTGATCTTCATCAGTATTTTAAGCCCTCTTCACTTTCAGCAATAAAGCTTGTATCATCTGCATATCACAGGTTATTAATGTGTCTTCATCCAATCCTGATACCATATTCTTCTTCATATAATCCAGTTCCTCAGATTATTTGCTCAGCATGCAGATTGAATAAGTATAGTGAAAGTATACGATGCTGGTGCACACCTTTCCTGATTTGAAATCATTCAGTGTCCCCTTGTTTTGTTCGAATGACTGCCTCTTGATCTATGTACAGGTTCCTCATGAGCACAACTAAGTGTTCTAGAATGCTATTCTTTGCAATGTTATCCATAGCTTGTCATGATTCATACAGTTGAAAGACTTTGTATTGTCAATAAAGCATTTTTTGTATTTTCTGCTTTTAGCCAAGATCCATCGGACTTCAGCTGTGATATCCCTCTCTCCACATCCTCATCTGAATCTGGCTTGAACCACTGGCAGTTCCTTGTCGATGTATTGTTGCAGCTGTTTTAAATTAGCTTTAGCAAAATTGTATCTTCATGTGATATTAATATTGTCCAATGATTTGAACATTCTGTTGAGTCATCTCTCTTTGGAATGAGCAAAAATATGGATCTTTTCCAATCAGTTGACCACATAGCTATCTTCCAAATTTCTTGGCATAGATGAGTGAGTGCCTCCAGTGCTGCATTCATTTGTTGAAAAATTTCAATTTGTATTCCATCAGTTCCTGGTGCCTTGTTCTTTGCCAGTACTTTCAGTGTACCTTGGAGTTCTTCCTTCAGTACCATTAGCTCTTGATCATATGCTACCTCTTGAAATGTTTGAACATTGACCGTTTCTTTTTGGTACAGTGACTTCTGTGTATTCCTTCCATCTTCTTTTGATGCTTTCGTGCTTTACCCATGTTGTTGTTGTTAAGTGCCATCGAGGCATTTCCAACTCATAGTGACCCTTAGCAGCTAGTGGGCTTGAACTGCCAACCTTGTGGTTAGCAGTACACTGCTGATCCTACAGTGACATGTGTGGAGTCCATTTACCCTTAGAATCCTTCAATATTTCAAGTCTAGGGTTGAATTTTTTCTTCAGTTCTTACAACTTGTGAAATTTTGAGTGTGTTCTTCCCATAACGTCATACAATAAGAAAGCAAAGGTCATTAAAAAGACAGGAAACAAAGCGAAAAGACCAAAATGTCAGAAGAGATTCTAAGTCTTTGCATATTTCATTATAATACTTGACTTTATCTTCTTGAGCTTCCCTTTTAAATTTTCCGTTGAGTTCTTTTACCTCCTCATCTTTTCCATTTACTTTAGCATCTCTACACTAAGGAGCTCTGGTAGCGTAGTGGTTACGAATCGGGCTGCGAACCTTAAGGTCAGTGGTTCGAAACTACTAGCCGCTCCGCGGGAGAAAGATGAGGCTTTCTACTCCCGTAAGGATTTTCACCCTCGGAAACCCTGTACAGGGTCGCTATGGGTCAGAACCGACTCAATGGCACTTAACAACAACAACAACTCACTAAAGAGCAAGTTTCAGAGTCTCTTCTGACATCCATTTTGGTCCTTACCTTCTTTCTTGTCTTCTGAATGACCTTTTGCTTTCCTGTGTGATGCTTTTGATATCATCCTACAACTCTCCTGGTCTTTGGTCCTTATCATCAAATGCATCCAATCTGTTCTTGAGATGATCTCCAAATTCAGGTGGGATATGTTCAAGGTCATATTTTGGCTTTCATTGAGCTGTTTTAATTTTCTTCCGCTTCAGTCAGAAGTTGCATATGAGTAATTGATGCTCTGTTCTACAGTCTGCCCCTGCCTTTATTTTGACTAATGATATGGAGATTTTCCACTGTCTCTTTCCAAAGATGTTTTTGTTGCTGGTAAGAACCCTTGAGTCAGTTCTGACTCATAGTGACCCTGTATAGGGTTTCTGAGGAGTGGTTGGTGAGTTTTGAACCACCAACCTTGCATTTCAACCCAATCTTGTGGTCCAGTGCTTATCCTGCAGTGCTAAACCAGGACTCCTCCTCTAGATATTGTCAAATTGATTTCAGTGTATTATATCGGGTGAGGCTCATGTATATAGTAATCTATTATGCAGTTAAAAAAAATTATTTGTAATGAATAATTTATTGGTCTCACAAAATTCTGTCATGTGATCTCCAGCATAATTTCTATTACCAAGGTCATATTTTCTAACTATTGATCCTTCCTCTCTGTTTCCATCCTTTGTATTCTAATAACTAGTAATTATTAGTACACCCTGATTGCCTGTTTGATCAGTTTCAGACTGAAGAAGTTGGTTGTTGTTGTTGTTAAGTGCTGTTGAGTTGGCTCTGACCCATAGCAACCCTGTATAGGTTTCCAAGGAGCAGCTGGTGAGCTTGAACCACCAACCTTGCAGTTCGAAAATTCTTCAATTTCATCTTCATGGTATTAGTGGTTGGTGTATAAATGTAAATAATAATAATACTAACTGATCTTCTGTATAGGCACACAGATATTATCCTATTATCGACAATAATATATCTCAAGATAGATCTTGAAATGTTCGTTTTGATGATGAATTCGTTGACATTCTCTTCAATTTTCTATTCCTGTCATAGTAAACCATAATTGTCGGTTTCAAAATGGCCAATATAAGTCCAATTCAGCTCACTAATGCTTAGGACATAGATCTTAATGTGTTCCATTTCATTTTTGACAACTACCAAATTTCCTAGATTCATACTTCATACATTACATCTTCTAATTATTAATAGATGTTTACAGCTGTTTCCACCTTATTTTGAGTTGCACCCCATCAGCAAATGAAGGTCCTGAAAGCTTTACTCCATTCACGTCATCACTGTCAACTCTACTTTTAGGAAGCCGCTCTTCCCTAGTCATGTTTTGAGTTCCTTCCAACCTGAGGGGCTCATCTTCTGGCA